GACTCTTGAGAAGCTGGAATTACAAGCCCATGTCACCAGACCTGGCTGACATGGTGTCTTAAAAACTGGGAAACTGCACATCAATATTCTTTTTGGGTTTTTTTTTTTTTTTCCTTCCTTTAACAAATGGGAGACAAACTGAACACCCAGCACATCAGAGGAACAGATCTCAAAGTGAGAGAAGTAAAGGAGGTGCGGGCTGCTGAGACCCACCTTCCCGACCCTCCTGAGAGACCCACCTGGCCTCTGTGGGTAGGTGCTCTCTACTGACATCCTCCAAGGCTTTGATCTCCATTACAATGTAGGATCTGAAGCAAAGGAAACACACTAAGGCTTTGGCTGTTTATTTTTATCTCAGTGCAAATGGACATCCTGACAGCTGCCTTTCTGTGGGAAAAGATCCATAGCTAGGGGTGGAGGGGGTGGGGGTGAGTGGAGTGGGGGGTTGTCTGAGGGGGGGGGGTTTCCAGCATCTGACAAAGCTGATGCTAACCACCACAGAAGTCTGGGTTAGAAACAGAAGGCACCTCCAAAGCAATATAGAGAAACCTTGTCTCAAAAAATCAAAAAAGAAAGAAACAGAAGGCACATTGCATTCACACTGTCACACTGGCAATAGAGCATGCCTGCCATGCTTGCCCTTTATTTAGGTTTCCTGCTCCTCTGTCCTCCAGCCCAGCTGCACTGGGGATGGATAGTCTCATTCAGGTGTTCTACTGTCTGAGGATAATTTAGGACTAATTAGCCAATTGACACAAGCCTGCCTGCCCATAGTGTTGGGGGGAAAGGGGAGTCGGAAGAAGAGACCGGTTGGGGTACCTGGTTGAACTTGTAAAGAATCCCCATGAGGATGGGAGTTTAGTCTCACCTGGGAGGATTCAGGAAGACAAACCCCCTTCCCTATGGGGGTGCTCAGTCCACCTAGTCCCAGGCTGTCAATTCCCTCCTTGTCATCTCCTGAGGCTGCATCCTGGCCTAAAGCACTACGTTGCTACAAGGAACAACTTATTATTTTTGCATTCTGCATTAAAAAGGAAAAAAAAAGATTGAGGTGTAGTTCAATGGTAAAGTATGTGTTTATTATCTTTGCAAGGAATCCTGGGATTATTTCCCAACAGTGTACACACAAACACAGAGCCAGGACTAGGTTTAGTGGTGTACAACTGCGATTCCAGCACCCAAGAGGTGAAGGCAAGAGGGTTATGGCTAGAGGCCAGCTAGAGACCCATGGTGAGGCCTCATCTCAAAACAAATAAACAAATTATATAAAGCATTAACATCTTAAAGTTGTTAAACTTAGATAAAGTGTTTGACAATGAGAGAAAACTGAGATGGGAGAAGTGTCCACAAATGCTCTCAGTGCTGTGAAAGCCAGACACTTTCATTGTCTGGTGTCATCTTCCCGCTTTGCGTGTCCACACGGGAACCTGCTTGAGTCTGATGTTCTTTTCCCCCAAGTTCTAAGTTTGTTGACTTAAGCTATCTTGAGCTGTTCTCGCTGGGGAGAATACCTGTCGGCTCACTTTATTCAACACCGTCTCCCCGGCTGCAGGTAAACAAAAGGTACCTCCTTGGGAATTCCCAGGGAGGGGCAGTCCAGGCTCAACATCTCCCCGGAGGTTTCAAAGGGTTTTGCCAAAACCCAGAAAGGCCTGGGCCTAACTGTCACCACTAGGTGTCACACTAAACAATACGGAGGTAGATCGCAAGGCCTGAGGTGGTGGGGACAGGAAATCTCAAAGGACACAAACACACATGCTCCTTCATTTTTACACTTACAGCCCCAGATCATCCTCTGATGTACCTTTTATAGGTGGGGCATTGAGATCACAATGTGGTTAAAAAAAATTTTTTTTTAACAAAGTTTAATTTAGATACATTGTTTAAAATAATGTAATAAAATTAATTAAATTTTAGGATACATTGTTTAAACCTTAAAATAGGACACATTCTTCAAATTTTTTATTATTTAAAAAATTATATGTGTATGAATGTTTTGCCTGCATGTATGTATGTGCACTACTTTTGTTTGCCTGGTACCCAAAGAAGGTGTTGGATCCCCTGGAACTGGATTTATAGGCTATTGTGAGCTACCTTGTGGGTACTGGAAATCAAACTCCAGTCCTCTACAAGAGCAGTCAGTGCCCTTAATTGAACTGGGGCACTGTTCCAGCCCCTGCTATGAATTTTTTTTCTTTTTGGTTTCTTGAGACAGGGTTTCTCTGTGTATCTCTGGTTGTCCTGGAACACACTCTATAGACCAGGCTGGCCTCAAATTTGGAGATCCTCCTGCCTCTACCTCTCATTTGCTGGGATTAAAGGCCAGTGCCACTGCCACCACCTGGCTCTTGTTATGCATTTTGAAGAACTAATCCTCAGATGGAAAAACATGTACCTTCTACTTTACATCCCAGGTAGAAGAGAAAATACTTTTTTTGGAGGGCTAGGAGGGGGGAAAGGGTTTTTCAAGACAGGGTCTTGTGTTGCCCACATTGGCCTTGAACTCAGCTAAATACTTCAAGTATATTCCAAATTAGTGTATATTTGGCCTCATTTTTAACAAGGTGTTTCCAAGTGTTAACATGACATCTACTTTAGCAAAATGATTACTATATTGTGGTAGAAATTAGACAGGCTGTCATTGGGTGCCTGGGAAAATTTCTAGGTATTTTGCCTTTCTCTTTAGGAAAATGGAAACAATACCTAGCTTACAATATTAATTCTGAGAACTAACAGTGTGATGCATAAAGGGCTGGGGTTCCTCCAAAAATTTATACTGTGATTTTTCCAAAAGCCCATGCTCATGCTTCCAAAGCAGAGTGGGGCATGTATTTGTAGACAAATGATACAATTTGGCGTTAACTTTTTTTTATAATTTTTTAATTTAAATTTGAAACAAGCTTGTTTTACATGTCAATCCCAGTTCCTGCATCCTCCAATTCTCCCCTGTTCCCCCACACACAACCTCCATCTCATCCTCTTTCTGCTCCCCAGGTAGGGTGAGGCCTTCCATGAGGAGTCTTCAAAGTCTGTCATATCACTTAGAGCAGGGCCCAGGACCTCCACCATGTGTCTAGGCCGAGGGAGTATCTCTCTATGTGGAATGGGCTCCCAAAGTCCATTCGTACACTAGGGATAAATACTGATCCACTACCAGAGGCCCCATAGACTGCTCAGTCATCCTAACTAACACCACATTCAGGGAGTCTGGATCCGTCCTATACTGGTTTCCCAGCTATCAGACTAGAGTCCAATTTTGAAGCCAGAAAGTATCTCAAATATGTCAGGACTGACAGCCCACAGCTGCAATCCCAGCACTGGGGGATGGGGATGCTGAGGCAGAAGTCTTACCAACAGTAGATTACCCTGGACAATCAGGTTTCAGACCAACCTGGGGCTACAATGTAAACCTGGAATTGAGATCTCCTACTTATAATCAGTCTCACTTGGCCTCAATAATTGTATATGTGCCGATGAAGCCTGCAGGGTTGATGAACAGAACTCACTAGTAAAGTTTTCATTTTAACATATGATCTTTACTCTCTGGAGGTTTTGCTTTGGGCTTTCTTCTTCTTCTTCTTCTTCTTCTTCTTCTTCTTCTTCTTCTTCTTCTTCTTTTTTCTTCATAGATTTTACACCACCACCACCCCTCTCCAGTGTCCTCACATCCATATACTAGGGAAGGGATGGAGTTATGGAGAGAGGAGAGTTGGAATATGGCATCAAGAAAAAGATAGTTCAAATCCCACCAGAAATAGAAATCTGAGGAGCTACAAAGGCCTCTTGGGTCTATTTCTGACAGACTGACCGAAGGTGCCTTACTTCTCCTGAGCTAATTCTAGAAGGAGTTGACAGACTGCGAGCTCCTAGGTGAGGGAGGGGTAGATGCAGCCATTCTACTTCCGCAGGTGAAACCAGAGCATCACAGGCCCAAATCCCTTTCTCTGGGGAGTAGCTACCCACAATGCTACATTCCCTGGGGAGCAAGGATGCGTGCGGGAAGGGCCAACAGGGTTCAGATGTGGTCAATGACAGGACTGCCTTCAGCCTCCTACAGGATGCCTTGCAGCTGCTTTCTTAGCTATATTTAAGGGCCAGCCTTGGCTAAAGTACTAAGCCAGTTGCTCCGCTAGGCACTCACCATAGTCAGGCTCCATTCTCTGCAGCAAGAGGTAAATCCGACACAAGAACTTTTTAACAGTTACTGTTGCTAGGAAGCTACAACTTCTACTACAAACACTACACCTTGCTTTGCTTGAAAAAAAAAAAATGTGGCTCCTAGTTAACACTTTTCCTCATGCATAGCTAGAGTTCACCCTCCCCCAGGAGACGATTATCGATCCCTAGGAAATAATCTAGGGGTTCCCCAAGCGCTTGGGTGTTTTTAATGTCAAAGCTTCCCAGCTTCAGAGGGGTGGGGTTGAGGGACAGCCAAATGTCCCTGCACTGCCAAGAGCATGGAATGGGCAAAACGCAGACGGCCTAGTGACACTCATGCGTCCTTCCTCGAAGAAATTTAAGAGAAGCGAATCCCTGCAGACAGCCAGCATTTCCACTCGTGGGTTTTCAAAAGATCAAAAACCGGAAAGGACCTGCAAATGGGCAAATCGCTAAGAGGAACCGCCCAGCAGGTCTGCGTCCTTGGGATCTCAACAGCTGAGGACCCCACATCCAATCGACGGCGGTGGGAAACCCCAGGGAAAGAAGGGTTCTTGCAGAGGCCTGGGGTTACTGAGTGCAGGCTGCAGGGAAGTACCTAGAGGGAGGGGGCCTGGTCTGGAGGACTTTCCAGCCACTCAGGGCTCATCAAAAAGTTCCCTGTACATGACCCCCGTGGCTCATCGCAGGGAGTTTCTCCAATGAACCCCGGCCCTGGGTCTAGGCTTCTCAATCGAGGACGAGCCAGTTCTTTTTCTAGTCTGACTGGCTTGGAAATTCCCCGAGCCTGACCCCGCCCCTGAGAAATCCCCTGCCAGCGTTTATAGGGCGGCGCGGCGGCGCTGGCGAGCCCACAACAGTCGCAACTCGCCGCCCAGCCGCCAGCAGCTTGCAGCTCGCAGCCCCGCGCAGCCCCGCACGCAGCCCCGCGCAGCCATGTTTCAGCCAGCCGGCCACGGCCAGGACTGGGCCATGGAGGGCCCGCGGGACGGCCTCAAGAAGGAGCGGCTGGTGGACGATCGCCACGACAGCGGCCTGGATTCCATGAAGGACGAGGAGTACGAGCAGATGGTGAAGGAGCTGCAGGAGATCCGCCTGCAGCCGCAAGAGGCGCCGCTGGCCGCCGAGCCCTGGAAGCAGCAGCTCACGGAGGACGGAGACTCGTAAGTGGCGGCGGGGTCGCGCGCGGGAGGTGTAGGGGGGGAGGACCTGCAGCGCAGCGCGCTCGGGGCTCTGCACGGAGGGAGCACGGAAGGGCTTGCGGGGCTGCGAGCGCCCGGGCCGCCTGCCTCCCCATCCCATCCCCCTCATCCCCCCCCCAGCTCCCCCTCCCACCCCTGCCCGGGATCCGGCGTAGCCGAGCGCAGGCCGGGGGCGGGGCGGGGCGGCAGCGGGGACGCCAAGTCCCTGCCTGGCAGTTTTGCGCGCGGCCGCCGGGCGCCGCGCGGCCGCGAGGGGAAGTACAGGGCGTTCCGGGCGGCGGAGGGCGGGCCGGTCTGGCCGGCGCCCGCCCGGAGGGGGTGGGGCACGGAAAGTCCCTGGGCCCCTGCCAGGAACACTCAGCTCATAATAACCTCGCGGAAAACACCGCGGCCGCGGCCTCCAGAAACCCCGGCCTTGCGCAATCCCCCGCAGCCCGCGCCTCCTGGGGGCCCCCACGCAGTGCGCTCACCGCCCCTCGGGGGCTTTCCCTGTCATCCCTCAGGTTCCTGCACTTGGCGATCATCCATGAAGAGAAGACTCTGACCATGGAAGTGATCCGGCAGGTGAAGGGAGACCTGGCCTTCCTCAACTTCCAGAACAACCTGCAGCAGGTGCGCGCTGGCCCAGCGGTGCCCTCTTTGCCCTGGTGGCGGAGTTGGATGTTAGCTCAGCCGCCCCCAAAGTGTTTCTAAATTAATAGTCACTGAGCCCTTATCTGCCCTGGCCTTTTACATTCAAATTAGCCAACGTCTTAGAGCTTGAAGAAAATCCCAGGGGTTTGGTGAGGTCTTTAGGACCCACCTGGGGCTTTATGTTTGCCAGGTCCCCTGTAGTCATCTGGGAGGAGCAGAATCCACAAGGAGGTGTCTGGGATGGGGGAAACTCAAGACTAGGGATTTGCTCCATGGCTTATCCCCTTTCTGTTTCCTCTTCCGTTTGTAGACTCCCCTTCACTTGGCTGTGATCACCAACCAGCCAGGAATTGCTGAGGCACTTTTGGAAGCTGGCTGTGATCCTGAGCTCCGAGACTTTCGAGGAAATACCCCTCTCCACCTTGCCTGTGAGCAGGGCTGTCTGGCCAGCGTAGGAGTCCTGACACAGACTTGCACACCTCAGCATCTCCACTCCATCCTGCAGGCCACCAATTACAATGGTAGGTCTGCCAGTCCATCCAAGGACACAGAGAAGAGAGAGGTGGGCCCACTGGAGTCTAGGCTAGAGCTTAAACTCTCAACATAAAACGTTCAGGCAAAGTGGACTTTTAAAAAATTAAAGTCCCTCCTTGATGCCTTTATAATTATGTTCAGTCAGAACCCAGATTCTGAGTTCTTAAAAATTGAGGATATTTGTACTTGTCCCGTGGAAAATAGAGCATTGGTTGTGTGACAGTTGGAACAAGTAGTTATATTTTTTTTGTCTCTTATTCCTCTAGGCCACACATGTCTGCACCTGGCCTCCATCCATGGCTACCTGGGCATCGTGGAGCATTTGGTGTCTTTGGGTGCCGATGTCAATGCACAGGTGAGTGTGTCACCGTTCCAGATGGAGCCAGTCAGGTTCATCCTGAGCTCTTCTGGACTTGTTCTTACTGCAAGCTGATTTCCAGATGTGGCCCTAAACGGGTCTGATTGCTTTGGTTTCAGGAGCCCTGCAATGGCCGGACAGCTCTCCACCTTGCAGTGGACCTGCAGAACCCAGACCTGGTGTCGCTCTTGTTGAAGTGTGGGGCTGATGTCAACAGAGTAACCTACCAAGGCCACTCCCCCTATCAGCTTACCTGGGGCCGACCAAGTACCCGGATACAGCAGCAGCTGGGCCAGCTGACCCTGGAAAATCTTCAGATGCTGCCCGAAAGTGAGGATGAGGAGAGCTATGACACAGAGTCAGAATTCACGGAGGATGAGGTGAATGATCATTACTACCAGAATGGCCCAGTTCCCCTCACCCCTCTCCTGTCCTTAGAGCTAGTCTTTATTACAGGGATGGCAACATAATTATTTAACTTCTCAAACTCAGCTTGAAAAACCAGTGTCCCAAGAACTTGTCTCTCTGGTTTATTTTAACCCTTGGTGGGGAGGGGGGTTCTGGAGTTTGAGCCCAGGCCTTAACACGTGGTAATAGGCACGTGTTCTACCATTGAGCTACACCTCCTGTGTGTGATAGCTTAGACTTTTTTAAGGGATAGACTCAGTGAAGGGAAACTCCTGGAGGATTCATTCTTTATATTTGGATTAAGGAAGAAAGAGTCCAAGATTGTGAGCTACTTGAATAAGCAACCCCTCCCCTCATCCCAATGTCTTGGCGAAGTTCTGGGAATTTAATATGCCCTTTTCCCCTCTTGTTTTAGCTGCCCTATGATGACTGTGTATTTGGAGGCCAGCGTCTGACATTATGAGTGGAAAGTGTCAAAAACAACATGGACTTGTACATTTGTATAAAACAAGAGTTTTATTTTTCTAAAAAGAAAGAAAAGAAAAAAAAAAAAGAAGAAGAAGAAAGGGGTATACTTACCACCACTCTGCACACAGCCTCTCCCCAAGCATCTTACTGTAGTGATTGCAGACCTCGTTTTGCTATTTTTGTGAAGTGGGGAAACAGGTCATTGGAATTCGAAGAAAGTATCTTTTAAAGCTCACGTTTGTGGGGCTTTGAGAGGTGGTTTTCCAGACTGATGAAAGGGACCACATTCTATTTATTGTGCTTTTGACTGAACAGTAGATCTAGTAGCTAAGCCCAGTGTGTCCTCATATGTAGAACCAGGTATTCAGTGGTATGTGCTTAAGTCACTCCTGACTGAGGTTTGTGTAACCCTCTTGTAAATGTTGTATATGGTGTATTTTGTTGGTAATTATTTTGGTACTTCTAAGATGTATATTTATTAAACAGATTTTTACAGACAGCATTGTCCTGCTCATTTGCTATTCTGAGAGTAGCTTGTTCCTGAGGGTTGGAGGTTGAGAGCTAAGTGTGGTGGATGCCCAGCCAGCTAAGGAAGCCCAGAGCAGCTCCTTACTTTTTAAGTTCAGCCTCCCTCCCAGTGAAGCTTTGCAGCCCTCCAACCCCTGTGTAGGCAGGAGGCTACTTACTACTAGGGTGACAGGAAATGCCACAAACCACCTGGCCTGTCACTGAAGGCCCTGTTGTCAATTTCTCCTTGATTTAAGTGGTTGCAGAACCCTACTGTCACTGAACTTAGTTTGGATAAGAGGAATCTGCTGAATTAATTTGATACAGCTGGAAAAGTTCCCAAGAGTGGGCATGTGCTCAGAAATGGTACTGTCCTGACATCTAGCAGTCAACCTCTGAGACTTCTTACTTATTGACTGGGCTGTTGTAGACATTGCACAAGAGTAAAAATACAGACCGTGCTGGGCATCTAGTGCTTAGGAAAAAAACATGAAGCTATTGTACAACATCCTGTGTTTCACAGGGGGAGAAGAGAACGGCTTGTGCGAGGACACCCGGGGGAGAGGAAACTAGCTTACTTACCTAAGGCCTTGTCTTCGGGCTGTTAGCCATAAGACCATGCATATGTTTTGTCACTAACTGTAATTTCAGGGCCAGTAATCTCAGAGAAATCTCATCAGGGCAGTGTACCGATTCCACTGGATGATTCTGCCAAAGCTGATTTCACAATAAGTCAGTAACTTGTGAAAATTGCATTTAAATGCTTGGCACTTAATGTTTTTAGGAGAAAGGAATAAGGTGGCATTATGTCAAATGCAGAATGATAGGTAAATAAGATGACTGTGCTTCAGCTTATAGCTAAGAAAATACTGCTACTATACTTCATTATCCTGTTCTGGATCCACATATGATATCAAGTAAGTATGATGGTCATCTTCCTCTTACACTGAAAGGGAGACAGCGGTCAGTGAGTGTTTCATATATAAAAAGCACTATTGCAAACTGGGCAACCTGGTTCATCTGGACCTAAGCACTTCGATAGCCCTGTCCCCTGCCAGGTGCCCCAGGAGCTACCCCAGAGCACCTGAACGTAGATGTTCAGTGCTGACCACAGAAATGTTGATTTAGGCTCCGTCAACCAAGTGAGAAATGTAAGGGTCTGGGAGAGAACCCTTATATTCTAAAGAACAAAGGTTGGAAACTTGTTTTGTTTTGTTTTTTTTTAATTTTGGAATGGTGCCCTGAGTGCTTCCTACTTAGCTTCAGAAGCCAGGTTTGCTAGTGCACATCTATAATCCCACCATTTGAGAGGCTGAGGCAGGAGACATGTTCATGTCACATAAAACCAAGAGACACCTATGCAGGTGTCCTGTGTGGAAGGTTGGAGGACCCACTCTTGGCTACGCGTGTCATCCTCCATGGTGGCACAGGGAGAGACCTTGTCTGCGTCATGTGACCTGAGTTTTATGACCTGCACAAATCCTGAGGTAGCTAGGCCCAGTGAAGGACTGAAGCTCACCCTCGTCCCTTGTTCTCTGTCTCCATCTCCATCATGCCTGTTGGTCAGATGGCTAGTGAGAATTGTAGAACAGAAGTAACCCATAGAAAGCCTTCAGTTTGTTTCCAACAGGACAGTCTGGACAGAAGGCCCTCCTTCACACCCCGGATTTTCTCCTGGAAGCCAAAGTTGTATCTGGACAGGGAAAGATAAAGAAAGGAGCCTGGGAAAGAGGGAAATAAAGTCATGCGGGCAGGCAACTTCCGTGAATTTGGTTCCTTCATTCATCCTGCCTTGACCGGGCAGGTGGACCGGTTTTTTTCCATCAGGAAGAGTTTTTTTCTGTAAAGGAGGAGAGAAATTCCAGTCTGAGCAATCTCAGGCCTGGAAACAGCGAAGGATGGGGGGAGGCGGGTGGCTTACACTGAAATGCCTCATCTCCTGGAAGTGATTAAGCAGTTAAGCAGTGACAAGCAGAACTGAGCAAGGAGGGACATTCTTCCTGTCTCCAAGCCCCACTTTACCTGAGGTGAAGTTTTGTTACACAAGAAAGGCCAGATTTCTCCAAGGTCGCTCAGAAACCCACCCAGAGAAGAACCCCAACCTCTGATCCTTGTACAAAAATATCCAGGTTTTTTTCCACACTTTAAGTAAGGGAACGTTACAGGAACCGAAACTTGCTCTTCTGTGTGTTTCCCTCCTGAGAACTGGGACTCTGTCTCATTCCTTCATTTGTATTATTCTCCTGGCTGCCCAGAGGCCCACAGAACAGCTGGCCAGGGCCCTTGCTTAGGAGGAGAGAGAACCAGAGCTCTGGGTAGGGCCACCCAGTACAAAGTGAGAGGCACAGGGACAGGGAGCTTCTGCTCCGGATACCTGTCTGCCATGTTAGCACCCTTTGACGAGGACAAGAAAGCAAGCAGGGTTGAGAGCAAAAATAACTTCCAGTCTGGGATTAAGTCAACCATCCACAGCATATTCACCGTTCATTTTGTCTGTGGGTGACAGAAGATTCCAGAGATAAGCCTGGAGGAAGTCTGCAACCTGTCTCAATTAATGCTTGCCCAGGGCTTCTCAGACAATGTGCACTTGAATTGCCTAAGCAGATTGTAGAAATCCGGGTTCTCATTCAAGTGCTTTGAAGTTGGCACAAAATTCTGCATTTCCAGACAAGGTACTGGATCACATCTTAAAGAACTGGGCCTTCACGGTTGTGCTAGACAGTTTTATGTCAACTTAACACAAGCTAGAGTCATCGGAGAGGAGGAAAAAATGCTTCCTTAAGACCACCAGGCTGTAGGGAAGACTGTAGGACTTTTTCTTAATTAGTGATTTATGGGGGAGGGCCCAGCCCATTGTGGGTAATGCCATCCCTAGGCTGGTGGTCCTGGGTTCTGAAACAGTGGCTCTCAACCTTCCTAATGTTGTGACCCTTTAATACAGTTCCTCATGTTGTGGTGACCCCCAACCATAAAGTTATTTTTGTTGCTACTTTATAACTGTCATTTTGCTACTGTTGTGGATTAAAATATTTTTGGAGGCAGAGGTTTGCCAAAAGGGTCACAACCCACAGGTTGAGAACCATTGTTCTATATGAAAGCAATCCAGAAAGCTGCACTTCTTCCTGGCCTCTGCTCCAGCTGCTGCCTCCAGGTTCTTGTCCTGTTTGAGTTCTTTATTGCTTTCATTGGTTGATGAATAAAGCTGTTTCAGTCAATGGTCAGGCAGACTCTAGGTAGGAAGGAATTCCAAACAAATATACAGAGAGAAGGAAGGTGGGGTCACAGAGACTCCATGTAGCCACCAGAGAGACAAGATGCCAGGGCCTCACTGCTAAGCCACAGCCATGTGGTGATACACAAATTAGTAGAAATGGGATAATTTCTAAGAGAGAGAGAAAGAGAAAGAGAGAGAGCTAGCCAGTAATAAGCCTAAGCCACTAGCCAAACAATTATAAATATATATTAAGTCTCTGAGTGGTTATCTTATAATAGGCTTTGGTGATCCAGTAGGCAGAGAAACTGGTCCAAGTGGAATCGGGCTACTCGGAGAAAAGTGTCCTCTATAGGTTGCCATGCCCAGTAATTTTTAAAAGTAGTTTTAAAAGTCTTTTAAAGAGAAAAAAAATAAGAAGCAGGTATGCAGCTATTGAGACAGCTGAGTGGACAAAGCGCTTGCTGCAGAGTCTAATGATCTAGATTTGATCCCTTGAACCCACACAAAGGTGGAAGGAAAGAACCAACTCTACAAATATGTCCTCTGACCTCCACATACTCACTGTACATGCAAAGTGCCCACACCCCATCACACACATTACAACAATAATGTTTTAAAAAGAAACAACATAGTGGCTACTTGAATCCCAGTACTTGAGAAGCAGAGGCAGGTAGGTCTCTGTGAGGTCAAGGTCAGATTGGTCTACACAGCTAGTCTAGACCAGTGAAGGCTACATAATGTGTCCCTCCCCCCAACAAAAACCAAATCAAATCAAATCAAAAGCAAACAAAACAAAACTTAACCATATTTTTATTTTGTACCATAATGGATTAAGATCTTAGGAGACCATGGTAACGGGGTAATCATTTGGAACTCAGATATGGCCCCAAGTTGTCATTCTCCTCCCCTGAATTTTTAGCCTTGAGTTTTAATGGCACTAAATAAAGGAAGTGAGGCTTTCGTTTCCTTCTAGGAGTTTCCAGTCGTGTGGTCTGACTGAGGCTCAGGTCCACCCAAAGCCACCACATTAAACAATCTGGTCAGACTTCTAAAACCTTCACAGCACTTACTACCCATCTCCAGGCATGCCCAAACAGAAAGACAAGGGTGCAGAGAGGTAAGTGAAACAGGGAGGCAAGTTTATCTCTCTGTCACACTTGTTTTTCTGTCACACTTGCCTCTGTTTGTCACACTTGTCTTTCTGTTTCAGAAACAAGTGTGACAGAGACAAGTGCAACTTTGTGAGGACCAGGGGATGACTTCTTTCAGGAGAATGGTCCGGTGCTGATTAGGTTTGATCTGCTTCTCTCTTGCTCATTTGTTTTTGGGGGCAAGGTCTCACTGTGTAGCCTTGGCTGGCTTGGAGCCCATTAGTAGACCTGACTGGTCTCAAACTCACAGATACATCCATCGCTGCTTCCTGAGCACTAAAAGCAAGTGCCCCCAGGCCTGGTTTAAGTTTCTTGGTAATGTTTTCCTTTGGATGCCTTTTTACTTTTGTCATTGTCATTCTCCCCACAGTAGGCCCCTGCTGCATGGCAAGCTCTGCATGGCAAGCTTAATCGTGTGTGTGAGTCTGTCTGTGTCTATGTGTCTCTGTCTCTCTCTGTGTGTGTCTGTGTCTGTGTGTCTCTGTCTCTCTCTCTGTGTATGTGTCTATGTGTGTGTGTGTCTATATGTATGTGTGTGTATTTTTGTATGTGTTTGTCTTCGTGTCTCTGTGTGTCTGTGTCAGTCTGTGTATCTCTGTGTGTGCATGTCTTTATATGTGTGTGTGT